TAGACAACAAAATATAAAGTTAAGTTGGTATTTTAAGGATGGAAATTACCATAATTCATATAAGTAACAAAATCAGGTCAAATAATTTTTTTCCAAATGAGTTTCTTTCAATATAAAACTTATGAAACTAACAAAAAACTTCACTTTGTGTCTGTTTTTGGTTAAAACATGTTAGTTTTTCATTCAGTGAGTCGAGAATCCAGAAATTTTACTCAAGCAAGAGTAGAGATACTTCATTATAAAATTACTCAAGAAAAACTAAAAAGTACACTTAATAAAAATATCTCTAAAGGACCATTTTCAAAAACGTTACTCCAGTAAATGTAACTGGTAACTGCCCGGCTCCAGTATTTGTTTTGGCTGAACTGGGATCTGCAGATACTTGGCCACGTCAGGAGAGCCCGTCTACAAAGTGGTGCCTTTAAATTCCTCGAGCGGCGACTGTAGGAGCATCAATGGCAACAAGACCTGCAACCCTCAGGTTGAACTGTGACCTCATACGTTTTCAGTACAGCACGGTAATTTCATCACTAACTTCTCTCTGGCTTGCTGTCAGACTTTCAACTCATCAGATTACCCAGAGTGCCCTTCAGCCAGCTGCATCTTCATCACCTACAACGAGGAAGGCCTCTTCCAGAAGAACATGTTCAACCTGCAGATTTACAACGCGGTCGCCTTCCTCTGGTGTGTGAACTTCGTCATCGCTCTGGGCCAGTGCACGCTGGCCGGGGCCTTCGCCTCCTACTACTGGGCCTTCAACAAGCCGGAAGACATCCCCGTGTTTCCAGTGGGCGCCAGTTTTCTGCGAACACTCAGGTAATGTAAAGAGTTCAAGTCCAGTTATTTAGATGTTTGCAACTCTAATCTAAATTATCCTTGAATTTATAGTTTAGCGACAGTAAATAATTATTATTTCTATAAAGTAAAATAAACATTAAAGCTCCATCTGATGTTTTAATCAGGTTTCACAATTTATTTAAATGATAAGCTGTGAACCCAGAAATGGTGTTCTTTTTTGTTTTGTTTTTATTTGGCAACATGGCTCACCACTCAGAGCGCTAAGGTGTACGGGGCGTCCCAAGAACCTAGTAAAAAAACAACTGAAAACTTTCCCTTCAGTGCAAAAACACAAAGTCTTACCAAGTATCTTTGGTCTAATTTCTTAAAACACTTGAAATAAGACAAACATAACTTGCAAGTAATTTTTTATCAAGACATCGCAGCTTGTTTTAAATCAATAAATCCTTAATATTAATTTATAAAAAAGTTATACTTCCACTGGTATATTATTTTACTTATAATAAGACATTTTTCCTGTGTTATAAATTAAACAATCTGACAGTGAAGCACTGCGCTGTTACCCAGCAAGCCCAGCTGATCCCAGCCAGCTGACCAACACGTTTGGTCAGCTGGTTTTACTGTCGTACAATGGCTGCTGGAAAAGACAAGTGTTTTGTTGTTGACAACTTACCATCCAGGAACAACTTGCTGCATTCTGGTTGTTTGGGCGGGAGGCTCCACCAATGCTTTTCAAAGATGCAAAGATATATAATTCCTCATCTGATTGCAGCCATTTTCATTTGTGAGTGTAAATGATGTTGTGGGGCGTGGCCACAAGCAGCTTATTTAAGACAGCTCAGTCTGGAAGGAGGCAGAGCTGAGCAGACTAAAATCTCATCATTTAAGAATAATTTGGTGTCAAAAATTTAACAAACATATGTTGACCATAAATCTATCTTAACCTGCTCAAGACATCATAGGTCACTATGATTTGTTAGATTTATTTTGCAATGTTTTATTGTGCTAAACCTTGACTGGTATCCTGCTGTGGTCACCATGTCTCCTTGCTGGTTTTATTCTCATTTAAACTGGGATTGGTGACGTTTGACCTTTACTGTAGGTACCATGTTGGCTCTCTCGCCTTTGGTTCTTTAATCCTGACGGTGGTTCAAATTGTGAGGATTATACTGGAGTACATCGACCACAAGACCAGATGTAAGTCCATTTCAGCTGATTTAAAATGTTAACATGAGCAACATTTGCTGTGAAGAAATAGTTTGATGTGTATGAGATGGATTTTCAAAGTTTGATGTCTTGTTTCCAGCGGCACAAAACCCTTGTGCCCGTTTTGTACTGTGCTGCTTAAAATGCTGCTTCTGGTGTCTGGAGAAGTTTATAAAGTTCATTAACAGGAACGCCTACATCATGGTGAGAAAACAATCCGTCACCAAAACCTGAATCAATTCAAACTTATCATTTTTCCTAAATATTTCGTCTTTTCTTGTCAGATTGCTATTTATGGGAAGAACTTCTGCGTCTCAGCGAAAAACGCTTTCAGTCTGCTCATGAGAAACATCGTAAGGTTTGTGCTGCGGTCACGATAAGATCGTCAGACGGTTTCCATCCTCTGAAGCTGTTCATGACGCGGTTCTGGTTGTGTTTCCTCCTCACAGGGTGGTGGTGCTCGATAAAGTGACCGACATTCTGCTGTTCTTTGGAAAACTGCTGGTGGTTGGAGGAGTAGGTGAGGAGATGGATCCTGTTTTCAAAAACACACAAAACATTATCATGTAGTTTTGTTTAGTTTCACATTTAAACACCTAATTTACTTAAAATAAGGCAAAACTGACTTACAGGTAGCGTTTAAGGAAGATATAGATGCTTGTTTTTAGAAAATAATTCCTTATTATTGATTTTATTTTTATAACATTTTTTCCATAAGTGAAATGAATGGCGCTCATACTTTTTATTGTTGTTCAGGAATTATTTACTTAAAAGAAGCTCTTATATTTTACAGAACTGTTCATAGTAACTAAATAATGCGACTGTGTAAGAGCTAACATTTTTAAGTGTTGTTTATTTTTCTCTCCAGGTGTTTTGTCGTTCTTTTTCTTCTCTGGGCGGATTAAACTCCCAGGCGACACATTTCGCTCTGAAACTCTCAACTACTACTGGATGCCAATCATTGTGAGCTGACAATCACTCCATTGTCTGTCATTTCACATCCAGCTGTATTTTATATTGATCCACGTTTGTTCATGTTGTTTCAGACTGTGGTGTTTGGCAGCTACCTCATAGCTCACGGTTTCTTCAGCGTCTACAACATGTGTGTCGACACGCTCTTCCTCTGCTTCTGTGAGTAAACGTCAATCATTACAGTCATCAGTTATTACCACAGAGAAATATCTCTCTAGATAGCTAGCTAACATTACCTAACCTAGACAGATAAGTTAGCTGACCTAGGTTAGCTAAACTAGATTAGCCAACCTAATAATAATAATAATGTGCAAATTTCATCTGTGAAGCTAAATCAAAAACAGGAGGAAAAATTAAAATATTTGGTCCTCCAAACAAGTTGAGTTAAGCTAAGTTCGGTCAGCTAACTGAGCCTAGTTAGCTAGGTTAGCTAAAAGAAAATAACTTTTCATTTAATCCTGCCTGCACACAGCAAAAACATAAAATCTTACCCATTCTTTTGGGTCTACTTTTTAGTGCAAATATCTTATTAAACTTCTGCCAAAACTTTATTTACGAGCAACTTTTCTGTAAGATATAGGATCTTGTTTTCAGTAAATAATTCCTTAATATTATGCAAAAGTTAAATGTGTTGCCACACTAAGTGAAATATTGTGCCAGTGCAACTTGAACTTTTTCACTAATATTAATTATTAGCTCAAAACACGCTCCTATGTCTTACAGAAAAAGTACTTGTAAGTTAGTTTGATTTTATTTCAGATATAGTAAGATATTTGCTCTAGAAATACTTGATAAGATTTTGTTTTTGCAGTGTATCTGCAGTCAGGGCAGTAATTAATTCAATGAAATGTTTAAAATAATTGCAAATGTAATAAATAAGGCCTACATGGAAAGGAGGTTAGAAAACTGAGATAGATGTGTTCCATTACCAGTAGAGGGCGCTGTTTATTGGAAGTCTCTGATTAAAACTTGACTGTTGTTTCTCACAGTGGAGGATATGGAGCGTAACGATGGATCCCTGCAGAAGCCGTATTTTATGTCCAGAAAACTCATGAAGATCCTCAACAAATCCAACAAACAGGCAAAATGAGGAAGACTTCTCTCTTCTTCTTCTTCTCCCTTTAATTGGCCCGCTGTGCTTTATTCCCCCTCCTAAATACGTTTACCAAAGTTAAAATGCTTTTTGCACCTTTTTAATTAGTTTTTCATGTTTGTGCAGTCCTAATATTTCCTGTTTAATTATGTATTTTATTCCATCTGAAGATAGTTTCTAATTTCCTCATTTCTTTTACTTTAAATGACCTGCTCCAGAGTTTTTACATCAGTTTGCTTTGATAAACAGCTTTTAATGACATTTAAAATCACATCAACTCCACTGACGTGATTTTTATTTATAGAAAAGGGGATAGAAAAATGTTAAATATTTAAAAAAAGATTTTATACACTGTACTGTATTTTATGTGTTCAATTGTAATAAGAATTGTAGAATAAAATTGTAAATAATGTTTCAGCCTATTTTTTAAGAAGCCTTTTCTTTCCTCCAATCTTGGAAGTTTTTACATTTAATAGCTTTGACCAAATCAATCTGTTACTTTACTCACAAAGACCTGAGCCGTTAATATTACATAAGCCAGTGGTTCCCCTGTGGATTACAATAAAATCTCCCCAAAAAAGAAATAAAAATTTTAAAAAGCCATTAATTATCTTTTGCTATGGTTGATATGAAAAATAATCAATTAGCTCTAAATAAAAAGGCTTAGCTTTTCATATTAAGTACTTTTTCAGCTATAGATTTATTCTTTGCTACAAGTGATAAAACATTTTATACAATAAAATGTTTATTTTTAAAAGATAATTAAATTGTTGAGTGGTTAAATAAAAATTCTGCAAATTGTGTCAATTTTTTTTTTATATGCGATTAATCGTCAGAATATTCAATAAAGTTCAAATTATTGTATTCATAGAAAACAAAACGGTTTCCCGTAGAAAAGGCGATGTTTTTCTTTTAAATCAGACACAAAGCAAACATTTCAATCAGCTTTAATCTCCAAGAACATTTGGTTTTTCCACAACAGTCTCCGTTAGCCATCAGTACAAAGAGTCGCTCCGACGGACAAATACGCAAGACAAGAACAGCCTGTCCTTCAGATGACCTTCAGTGTCTTTTCTGACCCCGGTGGGAACGTAGAAGACTTGATTCATGGTTTAAACAAACTCCAGACCCAGCAGGTTAGAAAACTGCAACCAGAGTCTCACCCTCAGGTTGGCCAGTTTGTTCCCCTAACCGGCGGGTCCAATACTAATACTATTAAGTGCACTGAAACTCAGAACTCTGACTTTTTTTGAGCTGAATTAAAGTCAGACAAAGATTTACACTGCAAAAACACAAAACCTTACCCATATTGTCTAGTTTCTAGTCCAAATATCTTAGTACATTTGAAATAAGACAAAACTTTACAAGAGACTTTTTAGCAAAATCGTTTGTTTGAGGAGTCCTGGAACTCTGCTGGGCCAGTTTATTTGGACTCAACACGGTGAACAGGCTCCACTGGCAGATTATTTAACTTGGATTAAAACATCTTGTGAACTGAAACTGTCTTTAAAATCAGTATTAATTCATTATTGACTAAAAATAAATTCATTTCTTGCTGAGATGTTACTTGAAAGTTAGTTTTATTTCAAA